TAGGGTTATGATTCTTGATTCTTAAATTGGACGTATACGTTTAATAGGGATATCTAGTGGGTAATGGAGTTACAGATCCGGTGTTTGATGGTAACGCTCTTGTCCCCTTCGCACATGGGATGGCACTCATATCTAATGAACTCTTTGAGGTTTCGTTTTGTAGCTTAATTTCAAATAACTTTCAATTTATTCCTCAATGATTTTATCAATAATATGTAACAAAAAAAATGGCAGGAGACTAGAACGGCATGCAAAGGAAAGTACTCTAACGAGAATGTAAGCGATGGATGCAAGGTTAAAATTAAAAAAGTGTCAGATGGTGTGAGCTTATTAAACATATATAACATTCTAGAACCGTGCTACCACAAAAAATCTATATCAACGTTTGACATCGGATCTCTTCCTCCGAGTTTTCTTAAGTTGGGCAAAACAGAAAAGTCGCTACCTGTGAGAAAGAGAATGTTTGGACGCGCGTGGCCCTTAGGTGCCTTTGTGCGTCCAGGTATTGTTCCTAGTTGGTCTCAACTTCTTGCCGACTCTAGTGTTCCTTGCATTGTGAGTAATTAACCTTATCATGTATTTTCCATATGTTTAGAAAATACTACTATTAACACATGAAACTATATATGTGTACATTTAAGTTATCCATTTGTGTACGAATCTTAGATATAAATATAATAATTAAAAATTTGTAAAAACAAGTGTATTGTGAATATGTGATCAATTAACAAATATATTTGGTAGATTTGAACAATATGTTCTCATATGTGTTTATATACTCTAGTTTAGAAACTGAAAAATTGGTATGGATGCAGGATGATAGAGTTGCAACAGCCTGGCTGAATGATCCAGCGGTGAGGAAAGCGGTTCATGCTAAAGAGGTCTCTATTTGATCCACAATATTTCTCTCGTTTGCAATAAGATGATAGACAACCTTTTGACATCTTAAACTCTGTATGAAACGTTGACAGGAAAATGAGATTGGAAGATGGGAATTGTGCTCAAGCCAAATCACTTATGATCATAATGCTGGAAGCATGATTGAATTCCATAGAAACCTCACTCTTAGTGGCTATCGTGCTCTAATTTACAGGTTCATATAAATATATACATGTACATTAATGGTAAAACGAAAAAAAATAGAGAAATTTCAAAAAATACCACTTTTCAAATGCCATTTTACAAAAATGCCACATTTTTGAAATTTTACAAAAATACCACTTTTTCAAAATTATTTTTTCTTTATATTATTTATGTTTGGGTTAATTATGTTCTATTAGAGTTTAGTTTTGAGTGTTTAGAAGATTTTAGGTGTCAAAACATCTTTTAGGGTTTAGAATTTTAAGATATAGGCTTTATAAATCTATAATTAGTGGCATTTTTGTAAATGGATACCCCTAAGTGGCATTCTTGCAAATGTGCACACAAAAAGTGGCATTTTTGTAATTGCCCCAAAAAAATATGTAGAACCAAGCTAGCTTTGGTCAGTGGTATTTGTTTGAGTGGAAGATTTACCTTTGTTACAAAAATAAAATGTGTAGAGTATAATAAAAAATTAATTTTGGCAGCGGAGATCATGATATGTGTGTACCATATACTGGTTCCGAAGCATGGACTAAGTCAATGGGATACAAGGTGGTTGATAAATGGAGGCCATGGATATCAAATGGTGAGGTCGGCGGGTAAGGATTCTCTTTATAAACTTTTTTTATCGATTTTTTCACATGCAATTACTATTTCTATAATGATTTTGCATTGTAGATTTACACAAGGATATGACAACAATCTTACATTTCTAACCATCAAGGTAAGAATCAATGATTTCTTCGTAATCTATAGCTGAAAACATTGTTTTTGTTATACGCTTTTCATGTTTGAATGTTATGTTTTGCAGGGTGCAGGACATACTGTTCCAGAATACAAACCACAAGAAGCCTTAGACTTCTATAGCCGTTTTCTTGCAGGGAAAAAGATGTAGATTTCTTGGGTTTCGTCTTATCATATTATGTATAACATTAAAAGTCATGTTTTCTTTAAGCTTTTTTTTTTGTCAAGAAGATGAAATTTTATTAAAACGCTGAAACCATCGACAAATCAAGAATGGGAAGAGTTTTTTTAGATAACGAATCCGCCAACATATTAGCTTCTCGTGGAACAAAAAAAAATGTAAGCTGCCTAAAGTGGGAAGCTAACATACTAATCTCGAAAAAAAGTTATGTATCTCCGTATGTGATTCCTTCTTTCGAAGGATGTTAATCAAAACCTGAGAATTCGAGCATACGTGTAAGTACTCTAAGCCTTTTTCTCGAGCCTTCTGAAGCACCTTGATCACAGCCCAAGACTCGGCTGCCAAGGCCGAAGAAACATTCGATATAGACTCGACATATTCCTCTGTTATGTTTTCAGCTTCGTTCTTGAACAATTACCCTAAACCCCCTTGTGCTCCTTCTTTTCTCCAAGAAGCATCAGTAAAACATATTGTGCCGTTCACTAGCATATGTTCATTGTAGTTTGATGGCTCAAGGACTCTTCTCCTTGGTAGCTCATCTTGAGCAACTTGCCAAGCTTTTGCCTCACGGATGGCTTTGGCAATTATTTCCTCCGATGAATAGCTTGTATCCTCAAAAAGGAGTAGGTTTCTTGCTGTCCATAGATTCCAGCAAATCCACGAAGCAAGAGAAGTTGACGCTAGTCCAGTTGGAGGTAGCACCCGTGTAATGACCCGCACAATAACCCAGCAGAAGCCAAGGTAAGCAGCGTGCTAGGCTGCTTGGTGACCGAGCAGGGTGCTTGCTCTGGTCGTGGGTAAATCGTGGGTAAGCCCGTGCCTGGATCGTGCCCAAGTGTGTCGACCACACGCCAGTACGTGTTGCGCACACGCCTGGTCTTAGGCATCATCACCACCTCGTGTCGAGCCTAGGACGTTACCCGCGGGTGAAGAATGGGCAAGTGGCCGTGAGCTGTCCAGCTGCTTTACCTGCTTGGGCGTGCCTATTTAAGGGTCGGCCTGACCTAGTAAGCAGGGGACACGAGAAATTCTGCTTTGTCCGAACGTAACTTCTTTTCACCGCAAATTTTCATTGCAAACGGTAGCCTAGTTCGTGATCGTCCCATCTGATCAGTCCATCCGAACCGAGTAGTCCATTTTCTAGTCCACCGCGAACCATAGAGTCGTTTCACCGCGAGCCTTGTCGAGCAGGTTTCGGAAAACTTAGGGTAAGTTTCCCATGATCGAACCTTACCATCTTCAAAGTGATTTTTCGTGCTGATCATGAATTTAATCTTAGTTTCTTGATCCGATGGCTCGACCTATCTTAAATTCATAGGTTCAGCTTCGGCTAAGCTTCAAAAGATCTAGAGATAGTCCACGGCAAGCTCAGTTCCAAGTTAGGTAAGATCCATGGGCTTTACCATCAAATTTTCCTTAAGAAAACTCTAAGTCTTGCCTTGATTAATTCGTGAACCTTTGGAACAGATTCCAGTCCAAAGGCTAAGGCAAAATCGTTCGTAAAAGTCTAAGACAAACGCCCGTTGGCAGAACCGCGATCATTCGTTAAGTCAAAGGTGAGTCTCGGTGATGCTTGTTGTATGTTTAATTAAATTCCAATTGAGGTTCGTTGCTGCGTGATTTATATTCTTGCTAAGTACTTAAAAGTTTTAGCATGTGAAAATTACTAGGTTGAATTGTTGATGCAAAGTTATAAGTTTTCTTATAACTTAATTGTTAGTAAAACTTATAAATTATGATGATCGCGGTAAGACGTTCCCTTGAAAGCCATGACTTAGCTAGTACGTTGAGTATTAGTCTAAGTACATGAAGACACGGAGAGACGGGATTGCAGCCTTTGGCCGTGTACTGCATGACGATGCAGAATTTTCGGTGCGGATCCTTATATACATAAGGCCATTGGAACGGTGAAAAATCTTAAGTCTTTAGCCTTTGTGACTTCGGGCTGATGGATACCTTGTGATTTGATGTGGAGGGAAATAGTCTACGCGAAAGGCTTTATATAGACATTGCATAACTTATCGCAT